CTTCCAACACAGATGGCAGAAGGTAATCCATTTTCAGTTATATCTCTTTCATACCTGACGCACGTCCCCCATCCCTCCGCTATGTTCTCTTATGACTAGCAGGATTCTCCATGCACCCTGTTTTAATTTTTCTTTATTCTGGGGAGCATGGGTAACACTGCATAGGAATAGAACAATACTACAACCTTTAAAAAAAATGCTATGTATTTGCATAGGAACCACGGACAATCCCCCTGCCCTGTGTTTAAAAGGTATGCAGACATGTGGGCAATTCTCTTCTGCTAGCTAATTCCTGCATTTGCTATTGCTGCAAGGGACTAACCCCTTGCAGTCATCAACAATGAAAAAAGTAATTGACGAGACAGCACTTCATAGAAACTGTAGAATTGTGGTTTTTTGAGTTTTTGGTAGTAGGGAACAAGTGGGAACCCACAAGGACTTGTGGGAGGCATCCCATTTCCCCTCCCCCACTAATTCCTCTTTCCCCAAAGCCCTATAGCCTCTCCCCTTTTCCTGCTTCCTTCTCTTCTTCTAGAGTTGCCAACCTCCAGGTGGGGCGAGGCCTTGTGATCTCCTGGAATCACAATGTATTTCCAAACTACATAGTTCAGTTCCCTTAGGGTTGCCAGCTCCAGGCTGGGAAATTCCTGGAGGTTTGGGAGTGGAGCCTTGGAGAGGAAAGTAACCTTAGACTTTGTGAATCGAGACATGAAAGTATGCATTCTTTGAATCTAATGTAGGGAACCAAACATGAGATCCCATCAGGGACATTACTTCATGAATTCTGAACTTTGAAACATGCAAGTGTTATTTTAGAGATCTCAGGTCCATAATGAGCCTCTTTCCGCCTTCCTTCTTATCACTGGCAAAATATCTAGAGAAGAAACCTTTCAAGTACTTTCCAGGGATGAGTATTGTAATGGCACCCTTAGATAAGAGGGAAGAAACCTCCTGTGTTAAGAAGGGCAATGAATTGCAGGAAGGGGCCAGTGAGCACTGAAATGAAGGCAGTGATCTGAATTCCAGAAAGTAACCTCTTTTTATTCTGAACAACACCCATCAGTCATCAGTAACTTTGCACCAACTGTAAAAGAACTTATATAACCTTTACAAAAACCATTTTTTCTGAACTTAGGAAGTAGGGGCAACTCTAGAGTGCTGGTTTCTAAGGGACTGAGAGGGGTTATTTCCCCTTTGTTTGCCCTGCCTCTTGGACTGTGGTAGCTGAGTGTAAGGAGGCCTATAACTCTGCTGGAAGGGCCAAGTATCTATAATCTGGGGTATGATAGGACCTCAGTTGGTGATACCTATGGATATGCCTCAGGAAATACCTTTGCTTATAAAGTGGTATTGGGTTGTGGGTTATACCCAGAGACTTAGCCATCAATTCATTTTTTCTAATTCGGTCCAAGACTGCATCAGTTTAGTCACTAAAGGGGTCTCAACCTTCAAATGGGAGGTCTTCTATTTTCACTCTCATATCTTGTGGGAGGGCTGATGAGCACAGCCACAAAGGCCTCCAGAGGCCTTAGATCTGCTATTGCAGTCAGATCCATGCCTGGCTGCATTAAGCTGCTGCTTTCCTAGCTTCTGGACTTCTGAAATCAGGACTTTTGCTATGGTTTGCTTATCATCAGGCAGCATTTTTACAGACTGTGTCATATTTTCCCACAGCAACATTTGGTAATGGCCCTTAACCATTGTGAAATTAGCCCCCCTCAGCCCCAGTGCACAAGACTAGTAGATTTTTCTTCCCAACAAGTCCAGTCTCCTGCCCTCCTTGTCAAAAGGGGATGAGTGGCTGCCTGCCCTTCCCTTAGCAGGGAGAACCTCCAAGACCACGGAATTTGCTTGGGGGTGGTGAAACAGGTAGTTGCAGCCCTCTTCTCTGATATTGTACAGGTTTTCCAACTTCTCTGATGAGGCTGGGGTCAAAGCTGGTTTGGCTCAAATGGTCCTTGCTATATCTTACATCTCCTGAAGCATGGAAAGTACCACAGGCCCTGAGTCAGGATTGCAGAACACCTTTACTATAGGATCTGATGGCTGAGATTCCAAAGCATGGTATTTTAATCCTAGGGCTTCCGGCATTCAGACTAGCTGTTCAGAATACATCTTCAGGTCTTCCGGGTGTGATGGTGCTGACAGGTCACCTACTGTGTCATCAGGAGAGGGCATGGATGTGCTTTCCTATCCTGCTTCCAAAATCTGGTAAAGAGCATCTTCAGAATCCAATCTATGATGGGAAGTCCCCTCTCTGGACTATGTCCGGTGATCCCCCTAGGACCCGGTAGAAGATTTTGGAGGTTGCCAAGGGTATGGACCTTGTGAGGGTGCCCAGGGCCCCCATTGAGGCAGCATCATAAATGGGAATGGAGACCACAGTTTCTGCTGAGACGGCCATTGGTTCTGTGGCTGCTGATCAAGTTGCCCCTTGTTCTAAGACATAGAGTCGATGGCAGCACCTCAAAGACCTCGTCTTCCGACTAATCTGGAGACTTAGCAGCTCATCATGATGGCGAAGGTGTCTTTGGATGCAAGGACAGGTTGACTTCAATTCCTGATGGGGAGTCAGCTTGTTGGTATTGAGGCAGGGAGTCTTGTCGACTCCAAGAGGATGGTGACACTCGACCTCATGGGGATGGGGACCATCAGCTCTGAGGCAAGATTGATTGGTGTCGACCTGACAGCAACTGAGTTGGACTGTGGCGGGAAGGTTCAGCCTTTTTCTTAGCCTTATTCGGAGGTGGTTCTGAAGCCCATATGGTGACAGAAGGTTGGGTTTGCACTTCCAATACTGAGGGTGCTGGTGTCGAAGTCACTGAGTGAGCCTTCATTCCCTTGTCCGTCTGGGTCTGCTTTTCCCTGCAGGGGTCTGGGGCACCCAGGGCTTTCCCCCCATAGTGCAGCCTTAAGCCTTGCAGCCCTGCCTCTCAGGCTTGAAGGGTAAGTCAGCGACAGTAGCAAGCAGTCAGACCCAGTTCAGTCACAAGTCAAGTGGTATTAAGTCACCTAGTGGTTGCTGCCAGGCCTAGGGTTACCAACCTCTAGGTGGGACCAGATCTCTCAGAATTACAACTAAACTCCAGATTACAGAAATCTGTCCCCCTGGAGAAAATAACTATTTTGGAGGGTGGACTCTATGGCATTATAACCTGATGAGGCCTCTCCTCTCCCCAAATCCTGCCCTCCTCAGACTTCACCACAAAATCTCAAGGAATTTCCAGCCTGGCACTGGCAACCCTAGTCAGGCCTGGCCCCAAGAAGTCCTCCCTCAAAGGTCTGGAAAAGGGCCCGTCCCCTTCTTCTTCCTTTTACTGACAGAACCAAGCCTTGGATACTGTGGTTGCCTAGCAACAGCCATTGAGGGAATCCATTGCTTAAAATACCCCCGTGCTGGAAAAAGGTCCGTTGTGGAAATAAATACAACAACCTCTAGAAAGAGGCTCTGGGCAGGTGCCCCCGTCTTGGACACTGTCGATTTGCTGTGGTGACCTCAGCAGGGTATAATGACACTGAGTCTACCATTTTCTTCAGAGGAACTGATCTCTGCTACCTAAACAGTTGTAATTTTGAGTGATCTCCAGTTCTCACCTGGAGATTGGCAACAATGGTTCCCCATAAGGAAATAGTTGGTTTGTAGGGTGGAGTCTATGGCTTTGTACCTGTCCGAGGTCCCACGCCTTCTGAAACCTCACCCTCTCCAGGCTCCATCCCTCACATCTCCAGGAATTTCCCACCTGGAGTTGGCAACCCTATCTCCTTCCCAGCCAATCAGCAACCTACCTTTATTTCCCCCTCACTCTTCAGCTTTCCACCCTTCACACACCTGCAGCCTCTCCCGTGCTCTGAAGCCCTGACTGCTACGTCACATTGGCTGTCATATGGGGGCCACCTCAGCAGCATATAAGGATACAGAGCCCACCATTTTCTCCAGGGGAACTGATCTCTGCCATCTGGAAAGCAGTTGTAATTCTGAGTGATCTCCAGCCCTCACCTGGAGATTGGACACATTTTACCTCAGGACAGCAAACTGTTTAGAATGTTAGAGGCAAAAGCCAATCAAGTCGCATATGCAAACGACCTCTGTGTTCCAAGGCAAAGGCCAATGAGGCTGCATATGCAAATAACCTCTGTGTTCTGACTGGTTATGGGGGGAGGAGGAACAGCAAAATGTTTAGAATGTTGGAGGCAGGACTCAGGCAAAGCAGCCAGTGGATAGGGAGATCCTCTGAATGACAGATCAGAGAGCGAGCTGATTTTGGAGCGTGTGGAATGTTCTAGAGAAGTGCCACCACCATTCGGCTTTTATTTATAAGGGAGATTTCACATTTTTCTGCAAACCTGGGGCTGTTTTCAGGTTTGTAGACAGATCTGTCTTGCCCCTTCACAGCTCTGGGCACCTATTTAAGTATCCAGAGATTTGGCTGACTTGGCTGTTACAATATAAATGTGGGGATTGGCGATACTCCCCCATCACTGCCAATTCCCCACACCTTATGGCTCAGTGAGGGAGTGGAAGACTCACAAGGAGGGAATCCCATATCCCCTCCCCATTGCTGAGGCTGGCAAGACTCCAGGCCGCAATATCTACCACTTAGTGCCTTGTCAGGATTCAGTTTCAGTTTCTTCCTCTTAGCCGCTTGACCACAGCTACAGCAGGAACCTATTTGTCTCCCAAATACCTTCATTGTAGTTCTGCAATATCCTATAGCCCACAGTTCATTACTCCGGAAATTATATTTGTCTCAGCAGAAGGGAAAAGACATGAACAGAAATCTGAGCTACTATTCCTTGTCTGTGGTAATACTTTTATCTGATTTTTCTAATACAATACAAGCCCATTCTTCATTTAATATTTTAATAAAAATCCATTTTAAACTTACAGAAATTCTTACGAATATTCTAACATGCTACAGAAATCATGACCAAGGTTCAAGAGATTCAATTATCTAGCAAAATAATCTCTCTCAGAATTCTCATCACATTATACAGGCTGCTCAAAAATAAACATATACAGTTAATTTTTCTAGATATGTCTCAAATGTCTCAAATAGGTCTAGAAATTAGAAAACCAGTGACTAATAAAGGATCATATACTTGCAAAGTAAAGTCAATCACTTTAAAAATCACATGTATGGGCTACTGTTTGCCTGATATAATTTCTCTGATATAATTTATAGGAAATTAAAGCACTGTCTGAAAATCTTATGCCATAAAGAGCCTCTTCTCCCTAAAAAAGTGCAATAATATGTGTACCACTAGCTGACTAGATGCCGAAACATATCTTCACTAGTTTCAAAGAAGTAGATGAAGTGCAAAATGGATCTTTTGTTTTTGATGAGATGACTGCTGCCACACTGTGGCAGACACGGTAAATAATATACAATTTTGCCTATAGTTAATATGTGCATTAGTACTACTAAAACGAATGTAAGTAGAAATTTGCTTTAGACTTGTTACAACATTCTCAAGACTGTCCCAGTGTGGTACACGTGGATCCACATGGTATAAAAGCAAAGAATTATTTGAATGTCAACTCCATGTTCACAACTGCTCCTTAACTTAACTTAACACCTGCACAGTGGATACAAACACCGAGATTTGGAACTTATATAAAACTGGACAGTTTACAATCTTTTGTTTTATTATTTACTAAGTTGTCATTCTATTCCAACAGTGACATTTGTTCAACAATATTGTCACAGGACAAAAAGCAAATGTGTACAGTGGTACAGGTCAAGATAAATAAGTATGCATATCATCCCTTACTAAAGTATTTTTGCCTGACGGTCAGTCACTGAAAAAAATGAAGAAATGAACCTAAGAAAAGGTTTGATCAAACAGACTGATCATGTTTCGCCCAGTTTCTTAAAAGCAATATACTTTTCAGGTTGACATTTTATAAGCAATTAAATTTTTCTTCAAAATATCCCCTCCTCTTCCTGCTATCCACAGCTAGCACAGATTCAACTCCAATCAAGATGGAATGGTCCTTTGTGCAATTTTAAATGGAACAGATTTTTTATTTGAGGCAGCAGAAGTATTGTCTGGAACACGGGGTCTTCACAGGAAAGCTGTTGTAGTAGTTTTCTTTGATGATTTTAAGACATAATAGCCTTTCTTCCTTTGGAGTGCCCCTTTCTTCCACTTGAAGTTTTATCTTGTGAAAAAAGTGGGGAAAAGAATTACTGTTGTGCATCCATCTTTTCTGCATATGTAATTAGCATTTCTATAGTTGGCCTGTTATTTGACATCTGAATCATTTGTCCTTGAAGTAAGTAGAAGAGAAATTATTTCAGCTACACTTTGTACAAGCCCTCTGCCAGTTCCACCATTTGCACCAGACTCAACACTGAATGCACTGTTTACCTTGATTCTTTAAGTTATTTGGACAGAAGATTAATGTGATGAAATAAAGGACTGTACTTTGGAGTCATTAGCCTTGTATACTTCAGGTCAGTTTGAGAGAAAAACTAGGCAGCAGGCAAACATTCAGTGTTGGATTAGCAACACACAACACTAATACAATTTCCTTTTGTTCACTGAGGCATACATCTGAAATCCTATGCAAATGTGAAAGGTACATTTATAAAGCTGAATTAAGAAAATTAAGGGCAACAGAGGGGAAAAACAAGGTGCATTTCTAAAAAGACTATACTGATCTACTTCCATCATTTCACATAGCGCTTGCTTATGTACCAGGAAATCTCCTGTAAAACATCACTTAAAAATAAAATATGGAATAGGAGGACAGAATTAAGTTAAATTGACTGAATGCACCCAATTTAGAGGGGAAATTATGTATACGAACACGCACCACCTTTTTGGAGATTTACATAATGCTGCCCTACCCAAGGAACAACCAATGTTTTCTTCATCTTGTTGCCCAGCAGTTAATAGAAAAGCGTCTAGGGCATGGCCTGTATCAGAGGAAGGGTTTGCCTGGGTGCGGCTTGCATTACTGTTGGCTCTTAGTTAGGCCGGCTTGTCCTCTGAACCACCAAGACAGTGGTATGAGAAATATCACTCCAGGAAGAGAACTGTGGTCAAGTGTTCATTAACAAATTAAATTTGGTAAGAGAGACAACAAAGCTTCAAAGCAAGAATTTCTTGACTGATTACTTCGTCTATTCTCTACTGGTTTGTATTTATAGCAGTATCCTATGGATAAGGAACCCCTTTAGAAACACATTCATAATACCAAAATTATCCCATTTACCTGCATCCTTTATGTTCTTGTTGCTTTGCAAAATTTTCAGTTTGTTTCTGATTCAGGAAGTTCTTTTTCTGGAAAACTATCATCACTGAGATCACTGTAGCTGTCACTGAAAGTAAGAAATAAGTGGAATAAGTGAAAAATTAAAAATCCATATTTTCACCTTGGCTGCGGTCACACACACTAAATAGTCCACTTTCAACGCACTTTCCAACTGGATTTTTACTGTGTGAACTGGCAAAATCCAATTCAAAAGTGCATTAAAAGTGGATTGAACACAGCTCTTACCACTATCAGCAATATATTAAGGCTGATTTCGCACTAGAGCTGCCTCGCTGTTGCGCCGCGTTTTGCCCCAGTTCTATTGGTCATTTTCATACCCGAAGCCGCGCAGCTGATTTTGACCCATGGCTTCGCCCGATTTCTTCCACAGTTTCGTTGATCCTCAAAAAACAGGATCACAAAACTGCAGGGGAAATTGGGCGAAGCCGCGGGTCAATATCAGCCGCGCGGCTTCGGGTGTGAAATTGACAAATAGAACCAGGGCAAACAGCGGCGCAACAGCGAGGCAGCTCTAGTGTGAAATCAGCCTAAGTGTTTTCAAGTCCTATTAGTATTAATGGAAGAATTCAGTGGGTGTTTCACTTATTGAAATCAATGAAATTTGGAACTATTGAATGTTAGTTTGATTTGCCCCAACGGTGTTCAACACAGTGGCAATCTCATCATGTGTGAGCTTTCTTCCTACTGATAGCAATTTAGCTGTTTCTAGGGGATGAGTCACCATGTGATAAAACTTTCATATGTCCATCATATTGCAGGAATCATATGTTTACCTGAGTTCAGATTTAACCTTCCTAATGGTAAGACCAGTTCCACAATAGAACCAGTAACCTAGGGAGTGAAAACGGGCTTTTGCTGACTGGAAGTCTTCATGCAGAGACTGGATAGCTATCTGTCAGCTCAAGTTTACGATTTTCTACACTGAGCAGAGGGTTTGGGTTAGATGGTCTAGAACTCTAACTAGGAATCCTACATTAGGAAAAGATGAGGGTTTTTTCAGATTCCATATCAGTATAAGGCAGGGGTCATTTGGGGGGGGGACGCAGGGGGACGCCATCCCCCCGGGTGAGGTGCGGGAGGGCGGGGCCTGGAGCTCCCTGCTGGTGCCCGCTGGAGGTCGCCGCCGGCTGTGGGGAGGACACACTTCCGGTGATGTCAGGGGTGTGTGGCATATGCTAATGAGTTATGCTAATGAGTCCCCCTAGCTCTTTTTCTACGAAATGACCCCTGGTATAAGGTATTGTTCCTAAAATGAGTCTGAATGTAACTGGCTGTAAACAGGCATTCTTTTGAGTAAAATTGAGTTTGAGTTCTGTGTCATGGCAATGAACACTATTGGTTAGGGTGCTGCAGAAGGTGGAAGTCTAGAGTGTTAAAAATAATAAGAGGAATGTCATGAGAAACAGGGCAAATGTAAAGGTTTTGACTGAATTCAGCTATTGTGGCACATGGGTAGAGCTCGAGTACCATCGAGCGGCATCTCCGGGAAGGAAGGATGGAAAGTAACAAGAAAGGCCTGCGAAGAGCAAGCAGAATGGGCAAAATTACAACAAAGAAGATGCTGGATTTGGGCAAGGGTAGAGAAACTGGGTGGCCTGACTAACATGGTTGCCTCACCAGACTTTATGAGTGAAAAAAATTATTAGGAGGAGGGATAGAAACACACAGTGAGCGCTCCTATCTCTCCATTTGGGCCTCATACTTGCATATCTGTCATTCCAACTCTGTATTGCTTGTTATGCCACCTCATGTCTGGTCTCTGTCTTATTATTCCACCACTGAAACTGGGGGTAGCAATATTCCTTAGAATTAGACAGCTTTTGGCTGTCTTTGGTAACTGAAATTACATGAAAAAGCAAATAAGCACAGGGGGATGGGTGTGTGTGTGTGTGTACGTGTGTGTACAGAGGACTGGGCAGCCAAGTCTCAATGATAAAACTTCAGGGAAAGGAAAGGATTTGCCAAAGCTCTCATTTCCCCAGTAATTAATACTATAGCACTAATAAAAACATAGATTAAATGTTCATATTCATATTAGTATTACTGCAATTACACTTACTTCTTTCTGAATGCGCCAGGGAAAGCATGGAATAAAATTTGATATTTTGAATCAGGCTTACATATTACATGAATAATGTATTCAAAGACAGTATAACCATACATCTTTTAAAAAAGTATTGCTACAATAGCAAATATATGCTAACCATTGCAGAAAATGCTAATAGTGTCCCTAATTTTGTAACAGAGTACTCTTGGAATAAGCATACATTTCCTCTCACATTATCCTCAAGTGCTGCATAAAGACGCTACGGAGACCAAATGAATAACTGGGGTTTGGAGATTGCTCATATTAAATGCTGCACAGAAATCCCATTTGATATGTGCCAGCTACAAATGTAATTAAATACCAGATAAACACTGTGCATATATAAACATTCAAAGAAAGTAATTTTCATTTACACCTTGGATGCTTTGTGCTGCAATGGCAACATTTAAATCACCACCACAGGCAAATTATAAATTAATTTGCTCTCAAGCATTCTGCAGTAAGCGACTACATGACCACTGGAAAACTGGACTTCAGTCAAAATTGTTATGCTGTATTTGTGTCCTTACAACTTCTTGTTTCTTTGTTAGCCACCTTGAGTCCATGGAGATAAAGTGAGATACAAATATTTTGAATAAATGCTTATATCTCATCTTATCTCCATGGCTTCAAGATACCTAACAATGCAACAAGAAGTTGAAAGGACACTAAACCAGTACAACAACCCATCAACAAAATAAAACCACAGACAAGTTAAAAGCTTTCTAGAATAAAACTATTTTACATGCCATCACAGCTGCTTTGGAAGCTCAGCTTATGAAATATAAAGCGGGATGTCCTCCATATATTGATGACAACCCATTTCAAAGCAACTGATGGACTCAGTCAAAGATTTAATATCAAGATTAAAGAGCATGAAGGATAAAATCATGTCCCACCTAGCTGATCCTGCTACTCCCATGGAGATTTTGTTTCATGTCAACAAGGAAAGAATTAAGACAGCAGAGGGCTGTTCCTTTTATGACTGTAGTTGATTCATCAAAATTGATTCATCAAAATTGATTGTAGTTGATTCATCAAAATTGACTGTAGTTGATTCATCAAAATAGCATGATCAACTATTTTGAAATATCCTTCATGTCCTGATCAAAAATTACCTGAGCTGCTTTAAGACTCCTTAGGGAAAAATAGAGACACAAATCCTGCCAGGCTATTTCTTGTCAGGGAAATGATATAAAGAATTTCCTTGTCCTGTATAGCAACTCTTGACTGGGTCAGGCCTCCTACAACTGCTTTAGAGTTCGATTACATGCAAGACGTTCCTGTCATGGAACTCCAGCATTATGTGTGGTCTGGCCCTAAGTCATTCTATCCTGACTTCAGCTTAGCTTCAGGAATAAGATATATCTAGAAACACAAATAATTCCCCCCTCTTCCCCACACACACCTTTGTCTGAGAGGTAAAAACCTGAATACAGTGGAAAAATAAATAATAAATAATTCTATGAGGTATGAAACTATTTGCAAGAGCTCATGTAGGCAGAATCTGGCTGTCCCAAAGACAGCTGACTAGATTAGTTCTCCATTCAGCACAGTTAAATCACAACTGAACCTCGTATTTAAATCTGTTATCATAAAAATGGAAAACAGCAGAGAGAAACAATGGCAATCAATGATAAAATCAGCAACAGAATCATAGAGTTGGAAGGGACCTCCAGGGTCATCTAGTCCAACTTGCTGCACAATGCAGGAAATTCACAAATACCTCCCCCCCCTACACACACACCCAGTGTCCCCTGGTCCATGCTCAGAAGATGACAAAAAACCTTCAGGATCCCCAGCCAAACTGGCCTGGAGAAAACTTGCTTCCTGACCCCAAAGTGGCAATCAGCATTTCCTTGGGCGAGTAAGAAAGGGTCACAATAACTAAGCACTGATGCAACCCTTCCCGCCCTCCCTCTTATGATCTGCCTAAATTCACAGAATCAGCATTGCTGTTGGATGGTCATCTAGCCTCTGTTTAAAAACCTCCAAAGGAGAGCCCACCACCTCCCGAGGAAGCCTGTTCCACTGAGGAACTGATCTGTCAGAAAGTTCTTCCTAAAGTTTAGCCAAAACCTCTTTTGATTTAATTGTTGGTTCTGGTCTGACATTCTGGGGCAACAGAAAACAACTCTGTACCATCTCTCCTATATTATAAAAGGGTTTTGGGTGCCAGAATTCTAAAATGCGCCCCGTTAGTGTATGGGCGGAAAAAATGCCACTCAGAAGACGCTGCCTGCGATGACTGGCTCCCTCACCGAACCTGGCCTGCCATTGGCTGGGTGGCTGGGAGGGGAGGGAGCCAGTCATCGCCGCAAGCCAGCGTCTTCTGAGCGGCAATTCTTCCGCTCATAGACTAACTGGCCACATTCAGGACAGCGGCGAACGGAGCCGTTAGGCTCCGTCCGCCGGTCCTCCCCTCACCCGCCCGCACTCCAGGCAGGCGGACGAGGCCTCCAGGGCCCGTCTGCCGGCTCCCCCCACCCCCCGCCCCCAGTCCACACCGGCGGACGAGCCCTCCAGGGCCTGTCCGCCACCTC